TGGTGTTCTTAAGTTGAAACATTCTTAAGTTGAAGCAAAATTTCCCATAGGAATGGACTGAAAACCAATTAATCCGTTCTGGCTGTTTTTTTGTTATGTAGAGGTGCGTTCGTACATTGAAGCATTAGTTCCCATAGGAACTAATGCAAAGCTGGTTAATATGTACTCTACCACTAGGGGGAGAATTTTTTTTAACCTAAGATGACCTAAGGTTAAAAAAAGAGCAGGAAAGGTTTTTTTTCCTGTTCTTATCTAGGATTTCTGTTAGTAGAAGCAAAATTTAGCAAATGGAGCTGTTCTTAAGTTGGATTGTTCTTAAGTAGGGACGTTCTTAAGTAGAGACCCCACTGTAACGAGAAGAACATCTTTCTTTGGTGTCAGTTCTAGAAGGTATTGTAAGTCTTCATCTCAGGCACTTATATCTTCTGGAATAGAACAGGGAAAACAAATAGTCAAACAAAGAATAGAGGACAATGAATATCAAACAGACCTCTCTAGCATTCAAAACATGGCAGTAAGGACATACATCAAAAACTGTATGGAACCGGCCAAATACTTAACGTCTTTGGAAATTAAAAGAACTAGAAGAGCCTTTGCTTTGGTGAGGTGTTTGGCCCTCCCTTCTGCTGTACTAGAAGGGAAGTATAAAATACTCCTTTTGCTGACAGGTTATGCTCCTGCCACCTGAGGGAGATCGAGAACATACAGCATATGTTCTTCACCTGCCCATTGTATGAAGCAATGCGAAAAAGACTATTATTCCTTTAATAGATAGAATCCCAGGATTTCCTGTCCATTTTAGTTCACTGATGCCCAGGATGTCAGTGTTTATTCTTGCCATCTCTTGTTTGACCACATCCAGCTTCCCAAGGTTCATAGATCTTACATTCCAGGTTCCTATGCAGTATTTTTCTTTGTAGCATCTGACTTTCCTTTCACTTCCAGGTGCGTCCACAGCTGAGTGTCCTTTCGGCTTTGGCCCAACCACTTCATTAGCTCTGGAGCTACTTGTACTCGTCCTCCACTCTTCCTCAGTAGCATGTTGGACGCCTTCCGACCTGAAGGGCCCAACTTCCAGCATCATATCTTTTAGACTCTTGTTTCTGTCCATGGGGTTTTCTTGGCAAAGATACTGGAGTGACTTGCCAATTCCTGCTCCAGGTAGATTGCATTTAGTCTGAACTCTCCACTATGACCTGTCTGTCTTGGGTGTCCTTGCATGGCATAGCCCATACCTTCTCGGAATTACTCAAGCCCCTTCGCCATAACAAGGCAACAGTCCATGAAGGGGTCAGTATGCTTAGGGTTATATCATATGAGTAAGTTCTCATCATTCACAAAGTTGTCTACCTGCTAGCTTATGATTCCACATTAAAAAGAACATGTTTCTCTGTTTTAAAATCATAGCTCTACAAGATGAGATTTAGACTTCTGAAAATTGGCATGCTTATTACTTGAGACTCTACGGGTTAGCATGCCAGAGTTACAGTGGTGCCCTGCATAGCGAGGTTAATCCGTTCTGGATTAACCCTCGCTATGGGAAACATCGCTCAACGGAACAAAAAAAGCCACTGGAACGCATTAAACATTGTTTAATGCGTTCCAAATTGGCCGAATACTCACCGTTGTGCGATGTTTCCCTGTGGCCGGCAGCCATTTTCGCGCCCTCCCCTCGCTTAGCGAGGGCGCGAAAACACTGCGCGCTGCCATTTCGGGGCTTCTGGCGGCCATTTTGGAGCTGCCGAACAGCTGATCCGCGGGTCGCAAAGCGAAGGGCGGTAAGCGAAACGCTTACCGACCTTCGCTGTGCGATTTTCCCCCATAGAGGCCATCGCTTTGCGATCGCAAAAACGGCCTCGCTATGCGGATTCGTCGTTCTACGGTGCGCTCGCTAAGCGAGGCACCACAGTATTTAGTTTTTAGAACACATTCATCATGTTTCAACGAAATTATCACTTTCCTAGCCAGTATATAGGCTTCTTGCTAATATAATCTGAAGACAGAATAGTCAGAGGGACAAAGTTAACAAGGCTGAACAGTACAGTGGAAGCTCTACTTATGAAGTTAATCCATCCCAGAAGATATTCGTTAGTTGAAACGTTCATAAAGTATTTAGTTTTTAGAACACATTCATCATGTTTCAACGAAATTATCACTTTCCTAGCCAGTATATAGGCTTCTTGCTAATATAATCTGAAGACAGAATAGTCAGAGGGACAAAGTTAACAAGGCTGAACAGTACAGTGGAAGCTCTACTTATGAAGTTAATCCATCCCAGAAGATATTCGTTAGTTGAAACGTTCATAAGTAGAAGCTCCATTTCCCATAGGAATGCTTTGGAAACCATTTAATCCGTTCCAGCCGAAGGAAAAAATACCCCCCAAAATAAAAAGAACACAGCAAGCGTGGTTGGAAGGCACTGAGGCTTTAAGAAGGGGAAAACACTCCAACAATAAACAGTAAACCCAGCTCCGGTGCTGAGCTTTAAGAAGGGGGAAACACTCCAACAGTAAACCCAGCTCCGGTGCTGAGGCTTTAAGAAGGAGAAAAGACTCCAACAATAAACATTAAACCTAGCTCCGGTGCTGATTCATTAAGAAAAAAAAGCCACCAACAACACAGCACAGAAACATATCCGCCCCAGCCAAAACCCACCCAGAAGTTTTTTAAAAGTAGAAAACAGCAGCTGCCGGCTTTCGGCTTACTGGGCTTCCAAACCCCCTCCGCTGCCCTCTTGTCTCCTGTCCCCGGTGCCCTTTGCCTCCTGTCCCCATGGGGACAGGAGACAGAGGGCACCGGGGACAGGAGGCAGAGGGCATCGAGTGCAGCTTTGGAAGCCTGGCAAGCCGAAAACCGCTCCACGCCCACTACCAGCTTTCGGCTTCCCAGGCTTCCAAACCCCCTCTGCTGTCCTCTGTCTCCCATCCCCGTTGTCCCCGCAGGTACAGGAGGCAGAGGGCACCGGGGACAGAAGGCAGAGGGCAGCGTGTGCAGCTTTGGAAGCCCAGGATTTTTTTTTCTTTGGCTGGAACGGATTAAATGGCTTTCAATGCATTCCTATGGAAAATGGACCCTCGACCTACGGACTTTTCAACCTGCAGCCACCGTTCCAATGCAGATTAATTCCGTAAGTCAAGGGTCCACTGTAACTGCCGAATGAGCTACAGCACAAAGAAGCAGCCTTGGCGCCACCTACAGTTAGAAATTGGAATTGCCCACCTTTTCCCTGCCTTTTTCTGTTCGTATCTTGAAGCTCCGTTCGCACATAGAAGCAAAATTTTGCGAACGGAGCTGTACGTAATTTGGATTGTTCGTAGGTAGGGTCGTTTGTAAGTAGAGGATCCGCTGTACCTCCTGGACATGGAATGGACTGTCCCCTCTGGGCTTTAGGATGTACAGTGGTAGCAGATGTCTTTAATGACGTCATTGGTTCTGGTTTCATTCAGCTAAACCAGAAAGAACGTATCAAATTCTGACAGCTGCTTAAATTTGCTTGAATATTTGCTGCTTTAAAGGGCTGTTGTTCCCTTTAATACTAGGAATATAGGTGCTTTTGCAGGTAAATGGATATGTAGTACTAATCCTAAAACTCCTTTCCTCTACTTCCTGTTTAACTGTCTTCTTATGAACACTACATCAATTGAAGAGCCTTTGATGAGAGATATTACCCAAAGCTTTATGAAAGTCTAAGTATATAGTGTTTCCCTGATCATCCCTTGTTGAGGCAGCTCTCCTGTCAGAGGTGTGGATTCAAATTCTACTGCTGCTAGTGTGGATTGGAATGTCCCAATCTTATTAGACAAAAGGTTACTAGTCATTCAGCATTCACCCACCCCTTGAGCATAATTGAAACACAAGATTCCTTTTGAATGGAAATACAGTATTTTAATGGTCTAATAGAGGCCTTGTCCACCCTTGCCTTCAATGCTAACGCTGTCAATTTAATCTTGTACAGTACAATGGATTGCTTTTTGCTATTTGGTCCCCCAGAATTCTTTTGAAAGACTGGTAATCATGGGTTCATCCCATCTTAAATATTTATTTACTCATAGTATATATCTTGATATTGAACAATTAGTGCTATTTACACCACTAACGTTATTTTTTGAAATTTTATTTTTGCATCTTTCTCTGCTAATTTGTAGGAACACACTGAGAAAAATGTTGATGGTTGCTTTGATCTTCCATACAAACAGAAATACTGTTAAAATAGGATCATAGCACGCTTATTTGAATGTTTTGGATTTATTTAATAAGAATTCTTATACAGTCAAATCATTAAGCAAAACAAGAGTACATGAACCATGCAAGTGACATATAATAAGTAGAATCAATAGTCCTCAGGTAACGATGATGAGAGGGACTGGACAACTTTAATATGTAGCTTTTGATTTAGAAGTAAAACACCTATTCCTAACATGCCCAGAATAGTTGCTCATAGTTATTTTTGTATAGTTTACTTGTAATTAAGTGCTTGACTAATTTTTACTATAAGCCAAGCACATAATACATTAATATTCTCATTCCCATTATTAAAATACCTTACTGCTGAAAGTATTTGTCCTGTAGCAATCAATACATAGCTACAGCTGGTTGAAGGGGACCAAATCCATTGAACAGGTGACCTGGCTCCATTTTACCAGCTTTAGCAAAGCACTGTGGTTTAGGAAATATCAGTTTTCATGTTGAGTTAATGGAAGTTTATTATATAAATATGAGATCTTATGAAGTACCATATTTTTCTGTGTAGAAGAAGCCCCATGTATAAGACACCCACACCCACTTTTCTATCCCAGAATTAAAAAATCTAAGTGGGGCTTAGCAAGTGGAGGGGGAAAGGGATCAAAGCAATTCTGTGGCTGCACGATCATTTTGATCCCTTTCCCCCTCATGCAGGGGCTTAGCAAGTGGAGGGGGAAAGCAGGGATCAAAGCGATTGTGCAGTGCTTTGATCCCTGCTTTCCCCTCCACTTGTTTTTGTTCTCTCTTCAGCTTACTTCCATGTACCCTCAATTTTTAGTCTAAAGATTTTAGACAAAAGTATCATCTTATACACGGAAACGTATGGTGTATATTGTTTTGAATTTGAAGTTTCCTAATCTTCCCATAATGATCCACTTCTATATTATAAATAGGGAAACAATGCATATGACATCACAGGGGGAACACTTACAGCTTGCAAAAATTGTCCTTTTTTTCCTTATACTTTTTTATGGTCATATCATTTAATTATGGTCATAACTCTGCCACCCAGAGTAGACCTTTGGTCTAGATGGGCGGGGTATAAATCTAATAAAATAAATAAAAATTAATGATAAATTCAGAGCCCACCATTAAAAAGAGACCTTTGTTGGGACAGTTGAACTCTATAACATAAATACATGTGTTTTTTACCTATCCCCATAACATATCCAGTGAAAAGCAGCATAATTTCTATATAGGTTTGTGGTCATTACTCTTAACTGCAGTAGCTGTGACAGAGATGAGAAATGGAAGCTGAGATATCCCTGTTTAACTTGCTGTTTGTAACCCTCTAGTTTTCAGGCATTTTATGGCCTTTTCTGTAGATACTTCTTTCTGCATAAAACAGCCAGTAGTATATATCGTAAGAAAGTATTTTATCTGTCTTGGAGTTACAATTATTGTACCACATAGCTTGTGGCACAAATCTAGTTGCAGATCCTAGCTAGAATTAGATGCATTGCATACATGGGATTTACAAAAGTGTTGACTTACTATTCAGCAAGACTCTTCTAGTTAGGATTGACAGATTGATTTGGGCATTTGAAATCATAGTTCATGCATTTTCATTAAGAAAATATTGGTTTAAAATGGCAATAGGTGGAGAAGGCTCACAGATGTTGAACCAAGCTGGAGGCACAATATTTATTTAGGCTGCATGTTAGTACATACATTAAATATAGTACGTTTGCTGCCTGGCAAAGTCTGCTGGTAGTTATGACATTTCTGTAAATAAACATGCCTTGTTTTAATAGAAACATACCATGTGGGGCTTAAACTTGAGCATTTTAAACAGCTATAAAACTGTCATCTATTTTTGCCAGCTATATGGAAATTGTTGTACTGGTCCAGCTCCTCAAGTGTTCTTTTGGATAGCAGTAGTTTTCTTTACGGGTCATATCAGGACAAAAGTTACCGTGGAAAAGAAGCATGATAGCATTTGATAATGTCAGCATTTGTTATCCTTGTCAATTAGATGGTTGGGATGTTTGGGTTACAACCATGTCAGCAAGATGTCCATAGTTCAACTTGTGCTTAGCTAGAATTCAGCAGCTGACCTGAGTAAGGGAAGTGACATTTTAGTTACCATGTTCTAAAAAAGCATTAAATAAGATTTTACACATCCCTGATATATTTGTTATATTTTGTTTGGTTTCCTTCTTTATTTACAGTAGTGCTATTTTAAAAAGCTGCAAAATATGTGATTTACTTTTAATAAAACATACATTCTAAAATGTGAGCCTTCTTTTTATTTATTATTTCTTTATTATTTTATTTGATGTATATGCCACCCACACTACCCAAAGTTCTCTGGGCAACTTAGAACAATCTAAATACAATAAAAAGATTTTAAAAAATTAAAATACAGTTAAAAATACAGTACTTTAAAAATTGACATCAGGACCCACAGTTGACATTATTTCAATTAAAAATCTTCTGGAACAGGAAGCTTTTGACCTGGCACCGAAACGTCATAAATGTCGCCAGACGAATCTTCCTCATGATTTGGGGGGTGGGGCAGCTGCTGAAAAGGCCGTTTTTCTACAAGCCCATCCCTCTTACCTCCTTGAGGGTTGGCTCTTTCAGGAGGGCCAGGTAGGTTTTTATGGAAGGAGGCAGTCCTTCAGGTATACAGGGCCCAAGCCATTTAGGGCTTTATACCTCAAAACAAGCTCTTTGAAAAACAAGCCTTCTGAAGTTAATCATTAGTTTGTTGCTCACTTTGTGTTGCTTCATAGAAATAAAGCAAGTTTTGCATTTTCGCTACCAGAGAATTCTATTCTCTCTTCATAAATGTGTTTATAGAATAAGATTAGAGTTAGTGATAGTACTGTAATTAACCTCTCAACACATGTGTTTTAAGTATAATGTTTAGATGTTTATCTTGGGCTGAATATAGGTTTTTGTTTTTCTGTCTAATAAGCACTGAGGCATTTAAGTTTTAGTTCAGAGAATCTTCGTATTTATGAATAGTTGAGCTTGTGAAATGTAATAATCTGAGCTGAAATAATGACAGTATAACAATTAACTGTGCACAACACATGTGTTTTAAGAATAATTTCTAGATATTTATTTTGGGCTGAATGTGGGTTTTTATTTCTCTGCCTAATAAGAAGCACTGAGGCATTTAAGTTTTAGTTCAGAGAATCTTCATGTTTATGAATACTATAGTTGGGCTTGTGAAATATAGCAATCTGAGCTGAAGTAATGGGCATAATCATGTTGCATAAAGTTATGCTGGTGTAAACCATATTCAGCACTGGAAATAATTAATTTAAACTATGAAATTGAAAATTTTCTCTCCCCCTGCCCCTGGTGCCTTTTAAATTACAAAGCTCCCTAGGGCTCCCTTTTGTCGTAGGGAAGCCATTGGAAGCCTGGGAAGTCTTGATCCTAGCAATGATCTAGTGGTGATTTTTGACTGTTAGAGAATTTCCCTTTGTCCCAAGGCTTTCAAAATCTTCCCCAGGGCAATGGGATCAGGGTGCCAGCAGAAAAAAACTTTGTAGACAGTTAAGAGAAGGCAACTTGCAATTTGGTATGGTATGTAATCTAATACAGCCTAGATATTATTGTGTCATTAAAATCTTAATCGGTCTGTCTACCTATCCTCAGTTTTCATTTTGTTATCTCGCATATATTTACTAGCATATGGTTTTCTTTGATATGTCTAGCAGTCCTTCTGTGCAACTTGTCAGTATAGATAAAAATCAAAAACTGAAATTATGTTGTGTATTAAGTTGGAACTACCATAGGCCTACTAATTCAGTGGAGATTTGGCAAGACAACTTCTCTGTAAGATTCATTGAGTCAATAAAGCTGAGCAAAGCATGCTGCTTATATATCGCCCCATAGCATATAAAGCACTCTTTGGGTGGTTTACAAGTTAATTATGCAGGCCACACATTGTCCCCCCCTCCAGTGAGCTGGGTACTCATTTTACCGATCTCGGACGGGTAGAAGGCTGAATCATCCTTGAGCCAGCTACCTGGGTTTAAACCCTGGGTCGCGAGCACAGTTTAGGGTGCAGTACAGCATGTTAACCACTGCACTACTATGCTTAATAGACTTACTGTTGAAACTTGCAACACTAAGCAACAGAATTTCAGCCAATGTGTTTTTTAATTAAATTGTTTTTAAGTAATAGATTGTATTTTTTAAAAAGTTGATATACTTTTAAAAAGTAAATCTAATTTTTATGATTTAAAATATGTGTAAGTAGTTAATACTCTCAAATAAAAACAGTGCTAATTCTGCTTGTGCTCATTCAGAGCTAATTCAACTTCTCACCACCAGCCAGCCACACTCCCAAATGTGGAGGTAGCCAGTAATAGTTCCACCATCTGAGGGGAGATAACTTGTTTCATCCCCAGGCTTTAAAATTGGAAGGAAAAATGAAAATTATTCACCAGCTCATGGCTGAGATACCTGAAGAGATCCTTTATGGGAATGGTCTACTCTAAAGGCATCCCTTTCATATTTTTAAGTGAATATTCTATACATTGTGGCAAAAGATTCAGAGTCTAATTTTGAACATGAAGCATCTATATAATACTGTTGCTGTAAACTGATGTGACTTTAGTACCCAGATGAGCACTACTGTTTAGGGATCTGTGAAATTTCAGTGGGAAATATTATTTATATCTGTAATCTTTTTCTTGTTATTTTAAAATTATTGTTTAAATCAATCCATTGTGTGGCAAACAATAGCTAGGCAATTCATCTTAACAACTGAGTTGATTAAGTTATATACTGGGTCTTCTAGGCCAAGCCTGCAAAGTCCTCTTGACATATTTGCCCAAGTAGGTAAATTACTGCCATGAGGTTACCAGTATCACACTGTCTGTAGTGCTTCAGTACAAACAGCATATATGTATAGACATTGTTCTTCATCAGGACAAGAGCCTTATGTCTCAAAAATGGGGTAGTGTAGGCAAAAGTAAAGATTGGATTTATATACATAGGATTTGAAACATATGCATATGAATAACTGGTGTGGAAATGAACCACATGTTTTCATCCTCCAGTGAAGCTTGGAAGGCAATAGCAAAATGCAGAGCAAGCTGAACAAATTTCACTAGTATAGCATTGTGACATCAGATGAAGCAAGGCAGGTGCAGAGCAAGTGCAATAAAGAAAATTTGCTAAACAAAGCAAGGGTGCATGTAAACAGATAAGGTTTCTAAAACTCAAAGCAGGTAAGACTCATAAAGGTAGGGATGAGCCTTTGGTAATTCCTTGAGTTTGCTGCGTTGATGAATATGTGGAACAGCCTTTCTTATAAGAATGAACTTTAGTTCTTTTTTATGTATATAAACAAGCTACCAAAATGTCAGTTCTTAATTAATTTATGATTTTGCAGTAAATGTGGATGATTTGGCAAGAATATTTCAAAATTTTAAGTGATTTTCTTTAAAAAGCTTAACCAGCAATCACAGTTACAATTCTGAAATAGGTAGGTGGATGGGTTGGTGGGTTGGTTGGTTTTTTGGCAGAAGTTTTAAACATTTCACATTCTATTGCAATTGCTTTTGTTTTATGCTGTGGTTGCTTCTATCTGAATGGACAAAAATTATAATGCATGCCTATATGGTATTAGCAGTAGCAATTTTACACTGCTAAAGAATAGCACGCTAATCACTCACCACATTTTAAGTAAATGCTAATATTAGACAAATTGTGAACATGAAAGTTTAGATTTATATTGCCATTCACCTTATTTTGTTACATACTAATTTCACCTAAAGAAGATAAACTCTATCATCAGGAGTTTAGTTTGGTATTCTTTTACTTGTAGCTTGTACCCACCAAAAATACATACTTCTTTACATTCCATAATAATCTATTTTCATATGGGTACATAAAAAAGTATGTGCTCTGGGCAGGTTTTAATAGTGGCTACCTGCTGTCTGAAGCTGCAAACCATTTTCCTCACTCATTATTCTGGGTGCAAAATCTTTGCTCTCGATTAGTTGCAAAAACAGATTTTTGTTCAATAACGAGTGTTACTGCTGATATTGCATTTCATAGTGTAGTTTACCTGCAAAGTAGTTTTAAAGCATATTAAAATGCAGTTTTCTTATGAAGATTGGAAGTAGCTTAGAGTTCAGTTGCTGCTTTGTGTCTGTTGAATGTCATATGAAGAGCAGTATGACCTCACCAAAAGTTGACTGTACAGAAGGCCTTCGTGTGCAGTTTTGTCCGATTAGTGTTTTGTTTTTTAAAAGGACTGGAGTATATAATGTGTTTTTCCAAAGATCTATGAATTGAGTTTATAAAAGACAGTTTTAATCCAAATTAGTAATATATTTTAACTTGAATATTAATTTAAAGGAAAAATTCAATCAGAGCGTTCATAAGGGTCCCAAAATAAGAGGGAAACCATGAGTGTTCGTTTCTGCAGCTCATGACAAAAAGCTAGTGCAGCTGATAGAGAGCAAATCAGAGTCTAGCAGAAGCTAGCGCTGTACTACAAGCAGAAACAGCAATGCAGCATAAGAATTTCAACTTATAAACTTGAACTTGTTTGTAGACAGAATCCAACATAAAATACTTCTAATATTTGCTCTTAATAAAAGTACATTATAGTTAAAACAAAAGCATTGCCACTGTCTTACACATACTGAAATGGCTGCAAAGTGCTACCTAGATGTAATTTGAAAGGGAGAATAAGGCAATCTGTTTCTCTAAAATTAGTACTTTTAGAAATGTTCATATATCAGTGGCACAATAAATAAAACACAGCTGACAACATTGCCTGTCAAACAGGTAACCATTTATGATATTTATGATAATAATTTTTCCAACTCTTATGTTTTACACTATAATTGTTTGATGCTTAATCACATTGTTACCTGCAGTAGTGATTAATATATCAAAAATACAATCTGATAAATTATACATGCAGATAGGAATTCTTTGAACATGTGCAATAATTCACAATTTGTAATGCTCTGTTACCTGTAAGCTTATCATGCAGCATTTGTAGTTGGAAGAGAAGTAATGACCTAGAGAGAGACATCAGCAGCAGCCATCTCTTCTTGAGTGTTCACTCTGTTCGCTGATTCAGCTCTTCATTATGTAGGAGGGGAAGCCATGAGGAGCTGAAAGTGAATACATATTTCACTTTCGAAAGTAGTTATAACCCAAATGAAAGCCAGCAGGCTAAGAATGAACTGTTATCTTACCCCCCCCCCAGTACTAGTATGTGGATGCATGGAAGTAGGTTACACCTGGAAGACTGAAAGTAAAAGGATCCGAATGACTGCTAGGAAACCCAAAGAAGGAATAAACCAATCTTGCTTGTCTGTTGAGAATTATGAAAAAAATGTATATGAAGCCTAAAAATTCAGCACATTTGCTCACCACCACCCTTTCCCAATCAAGTATTCTTTCTTTCTTCCATGTTGCACTCTCTTTCTTCATGTTTCTAGACAGATCCATTGTAGTTTTTTTTGTCTTGAGAGGTCAGATGCTGCAGTTGAGATCGGGGCTTCCACCATGCATGCTGTCTATGCTGGATCTATTTGCCACTTGGGGCACAAGTAAACTGTTTCAGCTTTATAGGCAGCTAAGTATTTGAAACATGTACTTCCAGGCTTTCTCCTGCCTCTTCCCTGACCATATTTAGTAAACCATTGCAAAAAATTGTCTCCCAGCTCTTGGTTGCCGTTCTAAGAGTAGTGGCTGCCTCTGTCTTTTTCTCTGTCTATTGATTGTTAATCCTGCATTCCCTACAGTGTTCAGCCTTTTGGGCTATGTTTTCAACAGTGTCAAATAAAGTGGTTCTTGTGTTTCTGTTAGGTTTTTTCAAGATTTCCCCCCTAAAATTCACAAGCCTTTTGAGTCTGTTATTATGTTTAGAAGCACCAGCGATAAAAATGATTTTTAACAATAAGTTAAAATCAGGGGGAGCAACAAATTAAAGCAGCAAATTAGTTAGGCAATAATTTAGGTTTGGGAACATTAAAATTAATCAGATACAGACCAGAGTAAGGAATTGGAACCAATTCTTTTAACAATCAGGATTTTAAAAAACTCATGCTCTTAGTTCTGTTTGAAATGTAGCTGGAAGGCAGTTCATTTTAGGAAATGCAGCAATGTAATTTTATTTTTGCTATGGATATTAGAGATAATATACTTGATTTTCAAAAAGCAATTTTAAAAAGTAATTCTATGTTAAACAAGTATAAAATGGATTGTACATCCTACTCATGTCCACATAAAATGCCGGATGACAGATAACAGAGTGTGGATCTCAGTTCAGGTACACCTGAAAATGCATTGTTTGTATCTGTAGCCCACCTGTTATCACAGTTCTCCATTTGTGGGAGGGTGGGTATGGTGGTTCTTAGTAGGAGACATATTCATGCAGACTTGTACTCACAAGAGAGGACAGGAAGGATAGTTGAAATAAGTAATGTGATTCAAGTTGCGTCCTAAATCCAACATAATATGAATAAAAGAAAACATGCAGTAGCAGAATTATTTTGGTTTTACATAAGCAAGTAAAGCAAGCATACTATATTTGTTCTTGTGATACTTGGGATTATGCAATTGTTTTCATAGTTGGAACCTGCATTAGATTCTGTCCTCGTACATAGTTTATTACATACCCATGGGGAAAATGGTATTCACCAATCAAAACAATATCTGAAGGATCATGTGCTTCTGTGTGTTTCAGCCTATTCCTCATACAGTGGGGTCTCTACTTAAGAACTTAATCCGTATTGGAAGGTGGTTCTCAAGTTGAAAAGTTCTTATGTTGAATCTGCATTTCCCATAGGAATGCATTGTTGTTCTTGTGATACTTGGGATTATGCAATTGTTTTCATAGTTGGAACCTGCATTAGATTCTGTCCTTGTACATAGTTTATTACATACCCATGGGAAAAATGGTATTCACCAATCAAAACAATATCTGAAGGATCATGTGCTTTTGTGTGTTTCAGCCTATTCCTCATACAGAGATAGGTTCTTTCCATCTGGTAATATTACATGGATAGCATTTAAATGAAGGGACTTTTCTGTGATAACATCCAGTATTAGGTATGTGTCATTAGGCTTGCAGTAGCCACAAACTACATTTTGGATCAGACATTTTTATTGGCTACTACTTTCAACGTTTTTTTAAGCTGGAAGCTTGATTGATTAATTTCTGAATTATTTTTTTAATGTTTCTTTTCTTTTTTTATGCTAGTGCTTGTCTTCTATTTTTATATTATCCACAGAGCTGCCTTTAAAAATGTGTGAGGACCAGATATGAACACATTTAATTATACAAATGTTAACACCTATTTTTTTCTCCAACTCCAGCAGCATTTTATGTTGTAACCAAACAATTCAGTGTATTAGATGTAATTCAGTAGAGGGGCTACTAAAAACTGAAAGCTGGAGAAGGTGACTTAACAAAATAAAAAACAAGCACTTAAATTGTGTAGAAGCCTTTAATTTGTCTTAAGAGGAGAAAACTAAGCATGCCAGCATACATTTCCATTGAAGGAGGTGGGTGGGGAGGAGTTAAAAACTAAACTATCTTCATATTGTGGCCATGGCACTGTGTACTGAATTCTGTTTATATATATTAAAGGCTAAAATGTACTCATGTCAATCTGGCAGATTGAAGCACACCAGGTGGTACATGAACTGCATGAACATAATTCCTAAAGATGCAGTCATAATGTTAGAGGCAAGGGGAAATGGATAGAAGTGCAGATGGAGATTGAGGACAATGTTAAAAATAGAGTACCTTCTCAATTTTTAAAATGTATTAAAACTGTGGTGTAATACTGTTATTGGCTGTACTCCATATTTTTATTATTTGTTAGTTTATGAAAGTATTTCTGGCTCACCTGTAACAGATCTCAAGGTGTGAGATCTGAAAATAAACTAATATTTAAATACTTTTAAACAATTAAAACACTTTAAAGCAGTTTGATAGAACAGGGTTTAAAAAGACTGAATGTTTGATGATGAACAAACCATAGTCTAATTACCAAATAATTGGGTAACAGATAGGTTTTAAACTCGGTGCTGAAATAAATGCGCTGTAGGCTTTCAAAGGAAGGACTCCGTAACTGGGGAGCTGTAGCTGAGAAAGCTGTCTCCCATAATTTTACACAGTCTACAGCTTTTAGTGATGCAAAACAGGATTCTTTCAGCAGATCTTAATGGTTAGGCAAATATATTTGGGGAGAAACACTTTGTCAGCCATCTAGAACCCAAGCTGTTTAAGGCTTCAGATTCATTGTCAACAACATGAATTCAGACAGAAAGCATAGTGGTAGCTTGCCTGTAAACCATAAACCAATTACAGGCTCCACAGTGTCAGAGTGGGCCCTTGGGGGCAGTTGCTTTGATGCAAGTGCACAGCAAGCTGAATACAATAGCTTAAAAGTGTGCTTTAGAGTTCAAATCTACAGATGTTTGCTGAAATAGATGATATGTACAGGTGGATTTGTTGGTTATTATTAGACATGGGGGCTTCATATTCATCTACAAATAAGTCACCCACCAGTATAGGTGGCCGATCCGATTACCACCCATCCCCAGTATCTGCCAGAGCCAGACCACTTACCACACGGCATGCATGGCTGCCGTCATCTCTTGCACTCCAATCGTGGCCATAACCCAGCTGCCACAACCTCTCCTCCCTGCTCACCCAGCCACTCTGCAGCTGAGTAGGGAAACTCATCCTCCTGCCCATGTGCCAGAGTGGCTGGGAAGCAGAGAGGTGGTGCTGTGGCAGCCAGGCTACTGCCACAATTGGGGCTCAGGAGATGATGCCAGCCATGCACATTGCACTGCGTGGTAAGTGGTTCTGGTGGGTTCTGGAGGTGGGTGGTAATCAGGCCGTCCACCTTTGTCAGTGGACTTTATATTCATAGACAAATATGAAGCCCTCATGTCTAGTTGTGATGATTACTGTAAGTCCCATTGCTTTAAGTAGGTCTACCATAAGTAAGATTAACACTGGGTTTAGCCCACTGTCCTGTTGCTTTGTTCAACAAACCATAGAGGAATGCATAAATTTGAGAAAAAAACAATCATGGATTTTTAATAGCTGAAATCACCATTCTTATAGTGCAGATCTCTTTGCAGTCGTCTTGCTGAATTTGAATGTTATGATTTAATGTAATAAAAATTGAAACTCTTTGCTTTAAAATGATTTGAAACCATTTTTTCCTGTAGTTGTAACTAGAAAAATATTATTTCTCCTAACTGCAACTTAACGATTGAGTATAGGGATTTTGTATTTGATTGCATTATTTGAGTTACAGTTGCAAGGTGATAACAATACTGCATGTCTTGTATGTTTCAGTGCTATGAGAGTATTACTCTCCAAGCTACCAAGACCATGGATTGTAGATGAGAAGAAAGATGACGGCTATACTGCCTTACATCTGGCAGCACTTAATAATCATGTGGAAGTAGCAGAACTCTTAGTACATCAGGTAAAGGTTCTTAGTAATATGTTGGCATGCAGCATATTATCTGTCACCTTGGAGTGGATTATCTACGTGAGCTGCTAAAACTTAAAAGGTGCATTTTACTTCGTTAGATGGTTGGTTAATTTGACTCAGGTTTGCCTAATCTAGCATTGGCTCTGGAAAGAGCTTCCTGTGTAACCAGAGATGGCACATTGAAGATAGTACTCTCTGTTTTGATAGGAGTGATAGCATTCTGAAGTTTATCTGTTTTATATACCAACCAATAGTGATTCTGCGTATGATGCATATAGATTTGTACAGAAAGATAGAATTTACATTTTTGTGCATTAAATTATTGCATTAAGTGTGACACTGATTTTTTTTAGCAATAAACATTTCTATATGTGTTGTTGAAACTATTCTATTTGCAGAACAACAGCAACAGATAGCAATTTGGTAAATTGTTCATAAAGTTATTTTACTTTTCCAGGCCACTGGTAAAGTTGCTAATGTGTAATACTTGAAATATTTAGTTGAAGTGACCCACACAGCGAAACAGTGACCCACACAGCGAAACAGTGACATTTCAGGGGATACATTTGTTGCATCCATTCAGATTGCAAAAATTATTGTACAGAGTTCTGTGCATAAATTTCCTTGGGGTTACTATTACTGATAAGCATCAACATACTGCAGTACCACAGGCTCTACTAGATACCGTATTTTCTGTGTATTTTCTGATCCAAAATGACACTTTTCCTTAAAATAATTAGAGGAAAAATTCTGGCGGTGGCAGTCAGTGGGCAGCAGCGAGAGGTGGTCAAACATGGCTGCTTCTTTGCCTCCATCTCCGCCTCCTGTTGCTGCTGCACTCTCCTCCAGCACCACTTGCAGGGTCAGCAGCAGCAGGAGGAGGAGGCAGAGACTGAGGAAAAGGAGCAGCCATGCTGGGCCGCCTCTCATGGCTGCCCACTGACTGCTGCTGCTGCCATCAGATCGCCTCCTCTAGCAATCGTCTCCTTCAGGCAGGGGACAAGGCAGTGAAGTGATCTGGAGGTAAGCCTCAGCAGTCACACTGAAGGAGACGATCAGGCAGTGGAGATAGCAGCAGCAGCAGGAGAGGGAGACGGAAGAACAGCTGCACTGGGTCGTCCCTCACAGCTGCCCATTGAATGCTCCTCTGGCAAGGGTAAAAATTAGGGTGTCGTCTTATATATTGGGGGTTGTATACATGGAAAAATATGGTAAGTACTGAGTTCAAAAACAAGTAGTTTCTTTTCTGTCAGAATACAGCCACACATTTTTCCCATTAGTGTCCTTGGAAGAAGTCCAGTTCACATTTTGAATCTTTATTTCAGGGTAATGCAAACCTGGATATCCAGAATGTCAACCAACAAACAGCACTACACCTTGCTGTTGAACGACAGCACACCCAGATAGTACGGGTAAGGTACCTATAATGTATCATAAGACAATGTTTCTTTAACTTAGGTTCTTCTTCATGGCCTCCATGAATCATACATATGGGTTTTAGCCATTACCGTGGAAGCTTCTAGGAATGTTCTTGGGCTTAC